ATTCCCATAACTTGAGATGGCATATGCATAAGCACTTGCTTCCTTTGCCACAGTTTGCCATGCTGGGAGTTTTTGACTGGATGCTAACCAAACCTCTACCTCCATTAGGCATGGAATAAGCTCCTTTCTTCTGTGCCGTCTGTGCTTATCTCAGGTTCCATTGTGGTGGCTTATCTTATGGGGATGGTATTTTGAGACATGTAACTGCATTCTTTAAGTCCTCACACTACCCTGGCCACTTCCTCTAGTCCTGTCACTTGGCACCGGGGAGAAGAGACCTCCACATCTCCACAGCTTCCCCTCAGGTAGTTGTAGAGAGAGTAGTCCATCTCTCTCTACAGAGACAAAGAAAATAACACATTTTGCTGTCCCTCAATAAGTTGGGGCAGCTCTGTGGTCTCATCAGTTTGGAGGTCCAATTAAACAATTAAATTAAACAAGGTGTTTCCATGGAATACCTATGGATTAGTGTGGAAAGCGCTTTGCCCTAGCTTGGCCTCACTAATTCCAGCACCCAAGCCAAGAGCCGTGGTCTCCAGTGCCACATAAGCAGAGCAGCACAATCAGAGGCTGCTGAGGTACCTCTGCTGCACCTCTACAGTGTGGCTTTGCAAGAAATATGTGCTTTATGTGCTTTATGTGATGAGGCTTGTTCCCTGCTCCGCAGAAATGCTCTTTTCCGTGGAGAGTGTTTCAGCTCCCTCTTAAAAGGGAGCGTGCATTAAAGTGCTTCTCACCTCGGAGATAATTGAGTGCATGCACAGCATCTATCACAATAAAAGCCAAACCTCAGACAGATACTAGGGCACTATCAAAGACAAAAAAACAATAAATAAGAATCCATAAGGCTTTCAGTCCAATGCTTTCTGCCACCATTTAATCAATTAAAAAAAAATCAAATGTTTGTACAGCACCTAATTCTTCACAGTATACAGGCACCACTGCAATACAAATACAGCTTACACCTATTACTACTAAAAATAATTAATAAACCTATCATTTGTAGATTCTTCTCTCTTTTTAAAACTGCCTCTGTTTTTTACTTTTTGGAACCTTTCTGCTTGAAAAATTATCAAGTCATTAAAAAGAAAATTGAATTTTTTTATAACAGATACCAAGTAACAGTAAATGTTCACATCCAAGTTATAAAAATGAGGTTTATAATGGCAATGCTTATAGATCATTCCTGTTACCACATCAGCAGGGCATCACTACAACATAGTGCTCCACAAAAATGACATATGGAGCAGCACTGAAAATAAGAAGAAATTTCTTGGTATGTCTGATTTTTTTTACTGCTAATTCAATGAGCCACCAGCCCTGGTTTCCTCAGTTTGTGCTTTTCCTCTGATTAGATTGTTTGGGGATTTTTCAGAGATACAGAGGTTACAAGAAAATGGGGTTCTTTTACATACACCATTTTAGTTTTGATATTTCCCCTGAATTGTGAGAGAGAAAATACTATTTAAATACCACTTTTATAATACTGATAAAAAAGAGAAGAGAAACTATACCTTTTCTTTCATGAGGTCAGATAATCTTTAGGGAATACATGTGCTTTTTACAACCTTTTAGAGTTTCTTTTTATTCTTCACAGAACAGCAGCAAATTCTTGAACCTGCAACTTCGTCCTCATGGAAAAAGGGATGGAGGTTTTTAGCACTTCATTGGAGTCAGGCCAGGTTCTGTACTTACAGTGGCATTTATTTAAAACAGATTAATGGGTTTGTGCTGACAGAGCTAATGCTCAGGAAGAAAACCACCTGTCAGCAAGCTGGGCACCTCATCCAAACCCGCATGCCAAGTGCTCAAACTCATCAGCACCAGCTTCTCAATCCTCCAGGACTTTGCTTCCATGAGCATTCCTGGCATGAGCATCCCCACTCCTCCAAGCTTCAGCACCCCTTTCTGTACTGCCTGATCCTCTGCAGACATTCCCAGAAAGTTTGTGAGCTTTTTGGCTAAGACATGGATATTCTGACTTTTAAAAATAATTTTTAAAAAATCATTAGAGTTTAAAATTTCCCAATTTGGAATTTTCACAAAGGCCCCCTCCCTTAGTTTCTGAATTGCACAGAGCTTAAGATATCTCATAGAGGTTTTGGATAATTGCTTCAAGGAGTGTAAATTCCTCCCTCTCTGCTCCTGGTGAGCTCCAGTCATTAATAAGATAAAGTGTACAAAGCAGCTTGGCTGCAAGAAGAGAGCACAATGCAATACAATACAGCTCATCCCCATCCACATGGGAAGGAAAACACAGGTGAAATAACAGTCAAAAAGTTTTTAGATGTGACAAACCTTGGGTGCATTGCCACAGGTAAGAGTTTTGTACTGGCTGAGCTAATGTTGACTTGGTTTTCAATCCCTGGCACAATGAAAATTTACCTCTGACATCTGCCAGTGTGGTGCATCTGTGGCTGCCCGTGTCAGTGTCAGCACTCCCCTGGCACACACACCCCACTCACACACACCCAGAGTGTGCAGCATGCTGTGACAGGACAAACTGGGACTGGGACAGCCCATGCACAGCTTAAGGCCAACTGCAAGATGCCACAAATGACAGGAAAAGGTCACATTCCCTTCTCTTCAGAGCTAAACAAAGCTCATGTTGGGAAGGTGCCTGCTGAGCACAGCCCCAGGTCTACTCTCCTGCGGGGCAAGGAGGAAACAAACATAGGAAAGTATAAATTGAGGCAGTTCAGAAAATAGCAGTGTTTGTTTTGACAACACCTGACTTCCTGGGCATGAGTTGGTAGGATTTTCTTTGGCTTTAAAACCATCGTTTCAACACTTACCATGCCCAAAGTGTGCCAGCAAATTAATGCAGTTTCAGGGGTGGGGGAGAACAGCTAATCAAAGTAGGAGGGTGGAGGAGCTGAGAGATCTTAAGAAAGAATGTTCTGAGGGAAGAAATTGCTGCCCTTCCTTCTGTATATTGTTGTGACGGGACTCGTTGTTCTCATGGGACATTTTACATGGGCAGGTAGTGATAGGACAAGGTGGGTGATAGTTTTAAACTAAAAGAGAAGAGATTTAGATTAGATGTCAGAAAGGAATTGTTTCCTGTGAGGGTAGTGAGGCTCTGGAACAGGTTGCTCTGATAAACTATGGATGCCCCATGCCTGCAAGCATGCAAGGCCAGGCTGGGTGAGGCTTTCAGCAATCTGGTCTAGTGGAAGGTGTCCCTGACCACGGTGGGGGGCTTGGAACTAGATGATTCTTAAGGTCCCTCCCAACCCAAGCTTTTCTGTGCTTCTACAATTCTCATATGTTTTTCACTTTCATTGATGAAAGATGTTCAAAAATATAATACAGAAATAGGCAAACCCTGAAAATATAATGTATCTACCAGAGAAGGTCTAGAATTAATGAGAGAGAGGCTGTGAATTTTCTTCTTATTGATTTTTCCTTAGGATGGGGAAATGGTGTGAGCTGTATCTGTCCTTCAGGCCTTCTCCTGCTTCTCCAGCACTGTCCTGACAAGTTGTTTTGTGATTGTGAGCCTTCCTCAGAGAAACTGCTACTGACCTGGCTGCTCCTGCCTGAGAGTGTAGGACTACAGAGAGAACACTGCTTTTCTGTTCTCTCACCCTGTCTGATCCCCTTGGCCAGAGGACGTGGATCTGGCCAGCTTCCAGAGAGTGAATGTGGTGATAAGGAAAAGCAGAGCTTTGAAGACAAAGATATACTGTTACACTGGGCACCAGCAAGGAAGGTAATGTCATTAATGTGATGCTGGCATGCCATACTCAAGGGCAACATAGTGCAACCTCAACCATGAAGTCACAATTTTTCCCAACACTTGGAAATGACTGAATATTCACTTAAATTAAAAAAAAAAAAAAAAAAAAAAAAGATAAAGAAAAAGAAGAAATAGAAAAGTAAGTCATTTGTAATAGTACCAAGTGAAAAAAAGCAATTCTTACTTCAAAAACATTATTGATGTGGATTCGACGGAAAGTTTAAGAATATCCTAAGGGATAGCAACAGAGAACTGAGAACAAAAAAGCAGTTTGCTGCCTCCTGTCCTGTCTGGAGGTGAAAGAAAGCAGGGGAATGAGGAGGCTCCTTTCTCAGGAAGCACAGTGCAGGATGGAAACTCAAATCACACCATCTCACAGGTGATTGAAAGGTACTGACGCCCTCCAAAGTTGCCTGCTGACCCCATCCTGGGCTGTCACAGCCTTCCCAGCAACACATCCCCACCTCCTCATTGCTAATTGTTTCCTAATGTCCAAGCAAGGTTGCTCTTAGTGTGCAACAAATGCCTCTTCAGTCCTGGTTTTGGGAAAAACAGTGATTATCCCCTTTGCAGCACTGCTCCCTGTTGGAAGCCTGCTTCCACATCCACATTTTTATGCTGGTTTTATTAAACCAACAACCCTGCTTTGGTCACCCTTTCTCCATAGGGTCACGCTGTACCACTCTCTGAGCTCTGCTGAGCTCTACCCTGCGCACAGAGATGTCTGTGTGCACATACTCACCCCCTCCTTCCTAAAGTATGTGTGCCCAAAATGAGACACACACTGCAGGAAAGGTCTTGCCCCTGCTAAACAGAGTGGAATAATGGCCTTTATCTCTTACATGTGACATACACGAGAATGGCTCAACAGCATCTTATCTGCTGGCTTATATTCAGCCCCTGGTCTAATACTGACCTGTATTCTTTTTTTATGATATACTGGGGCATACACTAATATTAACTATTTTGGATTTTTATTGATCTTGTTTTTCTTTCTAAGGCAAAATATTTTGCACTTGCTTTTATTGAATTTCACTTTATCAGTTCTAGGCTATTTCTCAAAGTTAGCATGATTATTTGAATTCTAACACTCTTCCAAACACTTGCATCTTTTCCCAGAACATTATCTTACGGAAATTGTATCTGAGTAAGCTCTGTATCACCAGGAAACTTGGCAATAAGAACATCCAACCAGTCTGGTGCTGGGGCAGACCTGTCAGCTCCAAATGACCTTGTTGGTGTAAAGTGAGTAATTTATAATTTCTCCTTAAGCATGACTTTTTCAGGCAGTTGCACTCTCCCCCTTACAGTGATTTCTTCTGGTGAAGGACATTCCTTTTTGCCAGACATTTTAGCTCTGCCTTCCTCCATCCAGTTCCTCATGTCTCATCGCAGAAAGTGGCCTTGGGGATCTGACATGTGCTGATGTGGGGTATCACCTGGGTTAAGCAGAGCCCATCTAGACCAGTTCTCTTTGCCTGTCAGAGAGGATATTTCCAGAGGGCTGTGGCAAGATTTTTGATAACAGCCAAGACAAAACTGCTTTGCCTTTCCCCACTGGGCTAAAGAACTACACTGCATTCATGGGATATGCTTTATTCTTAACAATTCCATGTTGCCATCTTCTCATAGGGATGGAGCAAATATTTAATTTCTTGACAAGTATCAGAACTGCAGTGTTTGATTTACAGTTGTGGATCCTCCCCGCCCTTGTTTTTTAAATGCATAATTTATTTTAATATAAATTACCAGACCTGTCATGAAGGTTACACACACACACAGAGATAGAAAAATGCAAGGAAAGTTTTTGGGCACTGGGACTGAATTCTCCCTATCTTACAATCTGAGAAGAGATGTTGTTATTTTAGCCAGATAGGGTCTTCCCAAAGAATTCCTGAACACCATGCAAGAGCTGGTGCAGTCTGCATGAGCCCATCCTGTTTTGAATGGCAGAAATTTAAACATATAGCTATAGCCAGCTATGCCAGTCAGCCCAGAACAAGATAATGCCCCCACTGTTGCTTATTTTGTGGATTTTTCCAATTTTGTTTATTTTTGAAATTTTTTCTCTCTGATCAATGTAGAAAAAACCCCAATTTTCAGAATATTTTCAGATCTCTGAAATAATTAACCAAGTAGGTAAATTAGGGAATATTATCCACTTTTTTACAAAAGAAAAGGACTTTGTATAAACAGCTGATGCCAAAAACGTTTGTCTGTTTAAAATATCCCCATCAGCAGGTATCTGACACTGTAAAAGAGAGGTCATCACCCTTCAGGGCAGAATCTCAGTTGCTGGGGCTGAATCACTCCCTCTGCTCTCCATCTCCTTAGCCTCTGAGGTTTTTAAGAAGAAATTTTGGATGGGGTAGAGCTTTCCATAGCCATTAATTCCCAGTCAGTCTGTGGAGCTACGTTAAGCAAGGTTTCCAATAATATTTCCAATTAATTTTTAGGTAATAGCGGTGCACGGCATTTTGCAAGGAACGCTGAAGGCTGGTGGAGGTCCATTCATCAAAACCTGATGGGAACTGTGGCCTCTGTGGTGTACACAGATGTTGTTCTGGTCTAGGGAAACACTGGAGAGAATAGTTAACACAGTAAAACAAAAGACCTAGCACAGTAAAATATTTCTAGCCATAAGAGGGTAAAAGCATATCTATTCAGCAGAGAGAGTGGAGTAATAACTAAAGATAATCTAATTACAGTCTGAAGTAAAAAAGGACTATTTTCCCCACAGTTTTCAGTGAGATGGATTACCCTCTGTTGTAGAGGGGACTCAGAAGTGAGCAGAGACTATAACGATCTCCAGCAAAGTCCTTCTGGCAGAACAGCCAAGATGTGACAAGGGTGAGATGTGATGACAGGTTTGACACGCTGTGATGGCACCAGAGCAGAGCCAAAGCCATAGTGCTGACCCACTTGTGAATGGTCCTCAGCGTGAGCATACCAGACCACAAAAAAGAGAGCTGATGATGAAGGGTTTGTTTTTATTAGAAGACAAATTAGAACATTCAATTTATAAAATACAGAAAATTGGATGTTCTGGGTGAGAGACTTCAGCATTACAGGTTTTGTAAGGAAGTTTACCTCCATATGCCCTCCAATTATGAAAGGCCATGAAAATTTCTCAAGATCTTGCTCCAGCAACCTCAGCAATGGGCCAAGGGGCAACTCCAATGGGAGCTGGCCTCATCAGCCTGGTGCTTTGGCGGGGTTTGGCCACATCCCGGGGCAGGGTGGAGAAGCCAGAGCTTCCCATGCAGGACACAGCAGATCCCAGTTGGCTCCAATGGCCTCAGCAGAGGGATCTGAGCCCCTCAGACAAGCAGGGGTGTCCTGATGATGCCCTTACTCATCTGTACTCATCCTTGCAGGATGTCCTGCAAGGAACAGGGAGTTGGACTCCAAGATCCTTATGGGTTCTTTTCAGCTTGAGATATTCTATGATTCTGTGACCATAACCCCCATTTCCACCCAGGGCAACCCTTCAGGCCTGTTTTCTCTGGCAGAGCAATGTCTGGGACCATCTGAGAGTTGTCTTCAGCTACAGCAAGATGAGAGCTGTAAAGACAGTGCAGACAAAGGCTCTCAGCCCTAGCAGACAGGATAAGAAGAGCAATGGCCACAAAAGGCACCATGGAAACTTCAGGCTGGACAAAATGACATTTTTTTTCATTTAGAGGGTGATGAAGTCCAGGCATGGGTTTCCACAGAGAGGTTGTGGATTTGCTGTTCCTGGGGATTTTCAAAGGTCAAAGCCATGGCTTATCCCAGCAGGTGCTAGTACAATGCCTGCTTTGAGTGAGTGGCTGGACCAGAGACCTTCAGAAGTCTCTTCTGACCAGCACTTAAATAACTGTGATTATAACAGCTGTAAACCAAAAATGTGGTAGACTAGTTTTGAAAAGTAAGGAAAGTAATATAACTCAGGAAGAATATTTGCAGCCACTGCAAAAGAACTCCCATGCTTAGAATAAGGAGTCTGAAGGTTAAATACTCCTGAGGAAAAACAATAAAGATGTGGTATAAAGAAAGTTGGTGAGATCATAAAGATAGATGACCTTGGTGGGTAACAATTCCTTTATTTTCAACATTTATTTTACTTTGCTCTGATTTTTAGGGGAAAAAAAATGCATTGTACTGTCTTTTCAAGGGAAGCATAGCAGGCAATGTTCCTTGCAGGAAAAGCATAGCTGGGCAACAATTGCTGTGCTCCTGCAATTGCTGGAGGGCTGCTGGGACTGGGATGCCTCCCAGAGCTGCCTAAGTGCTGTGTGGCAGAACCTCTCCCCCATGTATTACAAGCATTTGGGCTTGGACACAAGTGAAGGATCCAAAACTAAGCAGAAGATGAGAGCTGCCATCTCACATCCAGGTATGAATCTAACTCATCTCAGGCAAAGGGTTTCCACACTACTGGGATTGAGGAGAAGGGGGAATCACAGCCTTCCTGGAGGCAAGTTAACTCCAGCTAGATCTGTGTGGTCCTGCCCTGTTGAGGGAAATGGCCAAGTCTGGAAGCCCATGGCCTCTCAAGTACTCTACTGGGAGAGGCAGAAATGGCCTGTAAGTGACCATGACTGAGACATGCTACAGATCCTGTATGTGTGGAATGACTAGCAAAGCTGCAAAGAGGACTTTGAAACCTCTGGAGTGCAGCTGTTGTCACAAGCAAATACTTCTGTCCCTCCAGTCTCTCTGAAAAACTGGGCCCACATCTGACTGAATGAGTTCAGAAAAGACAGGCTCAGTGGGGACTAGGTGAAATTTTTGGAGGACCACCGGAATGGAAACCCTATTTTATAATGTCCTGTTTCATAAGAAGCCTTGCTTAGTCTGGTAGAAGAGTGGCTGCAAGGGAACATGACTGCTTTCGAAAAATACAACAAGGAGGGGAAACTATTTAAGTGAAAAGCCAGTTCTGGTAGAGAAACAGGTGCTATAAATTGTCTCAGAAAAAAATTAGTGCAGATTTGTAAGCAACTGAACAGGGAGGTGTAATTGCTCAGTGTGTTGACAGTGGAGGGCATCCAAACTACTTTTGTAACAAAATTTGACAAGTTGAGCCTGCTCATGAGGCTGTTTGTAATAGCAGACAGTGGGACCCACTGACTCAGGAGTTGTTCTACCTCTAGCCCTGTGGGGCTGGTGTGTCAGAAGGCAGAGATGCTGTGACCCCCATGCTGTTCTGCCATCAGGGCAGAAATACACTGTTCTTTAAACTGCTTTGATAAACACAGCCTAAATGTTTTCCTTTGCTTTCACAGATCTCTTGTTAATCTCAACAGTTTGTCCCGCTGGTGTCCTGGGGTGATACCGTAGTCCAGCCAAAGGACCAACGCCTTCTTCTACTCATTATCATCTCTTTTTTCCAACATTGTCTGATACTGCCTCTCAAGTAGCATGCTATTCCCTCTATCCCTTTATCTCCATGTTCTCCAATCCATCTGATTTATCCTCCTTACTTATTTTCTTCTGCCCTGTGCTACATCTGCTTGATCTTCTGTGTCATAGTGGATCTCTGACTTCAATTCCCTGCTCTTCCACCATTGTCACTGCTTGTCTCCCACATCTTCCTGAAGAGGGGCTGATATTTGATACTTTTTACTTCCAACTGATAGTACATGGAAATCTACACCCCCACAGATTCCATGTGGAATGTGTGCCTAACAGGAGTATCATATGATGCAGAACAGAAACTAAACTGGAGCAGATGTACATTGACATAAGGTGTGGCTTGAGGGACTACAACTGCTCACTTCTATGAATGGACCATCCGCCACTCCAGGAGATCACAAAGCTTGTTTTGGGGAACAGAGAAGCACCACAGCTGGGTGAGGGAGGATTTTGCTTGAGAATTTGCCTGCCTTTTTGAGCTGTTAGCCCTCTAGCTGAAAATAAAGTCCTGAATCCTCAATCCTTTGCTACCTAGCTCCTCCTATGTGGCTCCTCCTCTGGTGTGCAGAGACACTCTAAATTAGTTTTCAGCATGTACACAAAAAGAGCAAAACACAGTCTGCTCAAGAAAACGTGTCACCTGAATGTCCATCAGAAAAGCATGATGATCCCATACCCCAGCGTGGACCCTTAAGGCCTGGTCAGCTGGATGCTCTGCTGGCTGGGTCTCTGTTGGCTCTGCTGGGAATACAGACATCCAGCTCAGAGGGAAATGCCTGCACACAGCCCAGTTACATTTAACCAACTGAAATGCCTGTGCCAAGAATCACTGGAGATGCCCCAGGGTATCTCAAATGCATTTATGGGACTGTCAGAAATTACACAGGACCTACAGTGGCCTTGTGACATTCTGAAGCAGGAGATGTAGTTATCTAGGACATCTTAAATGGCACAGAAGTTTTATGTGTGGGTAAGTGAATAATGCTGTGTGTGTCTTAATCTGGAGCAAGATTGTGGCTGAAAAGCTAAAATAAAAAATTTCATGTGCATCTGAAGAAACCAAAAAACTGGTTTTGCAAGCTCCAGAGCTTCAGGGCAGCACTTGCAACTTGATATCAATTATCCACTAAAACCAACACAGACCTAAATCAAAAGGAATCACTCAAATCTCCAAAGAGGAGCAAAAGCAAAGTCTGAGGGAAAGGCAGGATCATTGAGTTATATCACAGGATAGAGTGGCTGAAGACTTTGATATTGTAAATAAGAAAGTAGTGTTAGAAATTGCCAAAACTGAGATAAAACCAACCTTGAATGAAAGCAGAGTGTTTGCTGGCTCAGAGATTTGAAATTAACTTGGCTGCTGATTCAATGGATCAAAAATTGCATTGATCTAATGCCTCTGACTTTCCACTTATGTCCAAAAAAATTTAACTTAAGTACAGCTCGACTGGAAGATTGCTGTCTGAACAATGCTTTCTTTCTCTTTTAATGGAAAATTTCAGCTCAATTTTTCCAGCAGTCCAAAACATCCTCTGCTTCCCACATTGTGAGATGACAACAATGCTCAGCTGTCTTTGGCCTGAGTTGTGGCGCCAGGCCAGAAAGTATCTCAAGTTGTGAAAAGTTTTAAATCAACACATTTTACCACTAAAGATTGAGGAAAAACCGTTTCTAAACCATATGAAATATTCATGTCTAGCATCTTGTGAGATACCATCTGGTTAGATCAGACCAAAGCAGAGCTAATAGTGACAGAGAAACACACTGGGCAGAAAGTGGGGAGTGTGACTTGAAGATTCATTGTTTCATGCCCTATAAAAGAGCACTACAAAATCAGCATCACTTCAGGAGCAATTAACTTTTCCAAAAAAAAAAAAAAAATCTGACATAAAAGTGTTGATCTTTTGGGGCTGTTATTAGGAAAATAATAATGTACTTCAGATAATATCATGATTCTCAAAAGGGCATTGGTAATTAAATTGCAATTTAATATTTGCCTAAGTATTAAAGTGTCTAAGAAAAAAAGCCAAACCCCCAAATTACCAAACATTCACTTCTACCATCAGCAAGAAGAATAAACAAAGAACAAATCCTGCTGCAGACATTGTGATCTTCCAGCATTTTATATTTACATTCCCAGAAGTAAATATGTCCTTTTATCCCTAAAAGCTCTTGTTCATGGGCACAGCACTTGGGAGACCTTATCTTTTCTCCTGCAGGAGCTACTTTTCTGATATATTACCTTGAGACAAATACTTTGCTCTGTTTCTTCTTCCCCTCTCACTTCCAGTCTCTTCCAAACAGCAACAAGTTTGCTGTGCCTTATACAATGGGACCTTCACGTGCTATTGCAATGTAAATAGTGGCAGTACAGGTGCAACTGTGAGTAGAATATGGCTTTGATTATTCAGTTACAAGGTCACCCTTGGGTGAAAGGATTGCTGCATAAAACATTGCTGAACCATAAGTCTGTGGCTGCTGTTTGGTTACATAATAATGTAATTTCAAATGTACTGAAAGTGTTTAAGGCTATCCCAAAATCATCAAGTTTGTGGTGCAGTGGAGCATCAGTGGTAAAAAGGTCCCATACAGGTGAGTATGAATACAGAGATGCTTACTGTGCTGGGGATTTCCCCACTCTCTCCCTGTTGTTGGCAATTTACCCCTTCCTTTTCTCAAGGTTAATTAAGCTTCATGCCCCTTTGGAGAACAAGGAACTATTGTACCTGGCTCCATGAAGACAAAGAAGGTAGCAATTAAATGGCTGTTTCAGAGCATAGAGCTGGAATCAGGACCAGGGTGCTCTCCTTTCCTTCTCTGCATACCTTGTGAGAAATCCAAAATGCTGCCCCTTTAACAGCAGTGTCACTCACACAGTATGGGCTCTGCACAGCCTTTGAGAAGCAGGAAAGAGAGCATCAAATGTTCCAGCCCACTTAATTTGAAAGCTGCCTATAATAAACCTTTGGGAACATATAAAACAGACAGGTCAAATTACATAGTTACATAAATATCACCGGATTTCTGGCATTTAGGAATAAAAAGCTTTTCATCTGTTCATTTTAAAAGTGCCTAAAACATCCATGCACTATGTTAAAATCTAACATTAAATGCTTTTCTTTTTGTACTTTCCAAAAGCTTAGCTAGAGACAATTTGGACACAAACTTCTCCTTAATAACATAAATATGTATGCACAAGTAATTTGAGAGAGTGTGCCATTGCAAAATATTTTATATTCACTAAAATGACAGTTCTTATCTAGTTCTTATCCACAGAAACCCTTGAAGAAACAATCCATTGCTTTTTAAAAGCCCCGCTCAATTCCTCACTTTCCCATCCATCTTATTTATAGCTCTGTCTTTGTAAAGCACTCCAGGATCTAGGAATGAGAAGTGCTTAAAAACCTCTGAGAGCCTGGATTTGAAATCAGCAGCACTTATGGATGCTATGCATATGAAGGGAAGGCCTGAGTGCAGCAGGCTCAGCATTCAAAATCAGCCCTACATCAGTGTCCTCGTCAACAACTTTGCTTTAACCCAGCGCTCACTCGACATCTGTATAAATGCACCAAAATGCCTCTTAGCCCTTCTCCCACTTATTTTCGACAGGCGTTTCACTGTGTCTGTGAGTAGGGATCCTCCCTCCCTGTTTTCCCTCATTGCACAATTGGCTTTCCATGGGCCTTTTTGGCAGCTCAAGCCCTTTGGGAATGCAGAGTTCATTCCTCCCCTCCTCTTTCAGCCTTGCATTGAGGAGGAGGTCTGTGGCAGGGACTCGATGCAGCAGAATGTCAATGCCAGAAGTGGCTTTTCTCATGGAAATCAGGTGCAGGAGCCTGGCATTTTTTGTGCAAGAATGAGAGACCTTTGTGGGTTGGGTTTTGTTTGGTTTTTTTTTTTGCCCCCTCCCTTTCTGGAAGATTATATTTGAACCGATGAGCTCTGGCTCTCTCATGCCTTGTGGGTGCCAGATCTTTCCTCAGGACTGATTTCTCCATCTCCTCCCTCACCTACATTGTTGTGCCATCTCATTTCATCACATCCAATTAGTCATTATGGGCTTATCTTGGCATTTTTTTTTAAGACTTCATGGATAAAAATGCCAAGAAGTGTATTTGATTAGAATTTACTCATGCTGAGGAATGTATTTATGTCCCCCACAAACACTGCTTGGCCCCTGGGGAGAAAAGAAAGGGCTTCCCTTGCTGAAGTGGGGAGCAACAGGACATGTGCAGAAGGGAAAAAGTGAGGTCATACTGATAGATCCCTGCTGGCCCATTTATTTATGCCCTTCCTAAAAGTTTGCTTTTCAAAGTCTTCCTCCTGATTTGGGGGTCGGTAACATGGACATTGCACTTTTTCAGCATTTAAAATATGAAAGTCCAAGTCCTGGTGTCTTGATACACAGTTTATCCTGGCTGACAGGCACATCCAGCCCGGATTGTTATCTGGTACCGTAGAATAATGTCACTCCTGGCTGCTCCTGACTGGCCAAACTCATCCCCTTCACAGCCCTGCAAGCTGGCCACAGTCAGGAGCATGGCTTGGAGACTGGAATTAACAGAACCCATGAAAAAGCAAATTCCAGCAGAGCTGGCACCAACCAGAACCGCTGTGCAAAGCCAGCAGATCCACGGATGGCCTCCCAGGACAGGCTGGCGTCACCCTCACTGCCCACCACGCAAGAGTGGCCTTCCACCCAAACAGTCCTGCTCTGAACAGCAGCCAGGTGCAGTGTTTTCACAGAATATTCTGATTTGGAAGGGACCCACAAGGATCACTAAGGCCAGCTCCTAAGTGAATGGCTGTGCAGGTATGGAACCCACAACCACAGCATTACCAGTCAGTAACACAACACTAAATCCACTTGGGCTGATAAGAAATAAGCCATGTCACAAATTCAGTGATAGCTAAAAATGTCTCTTTAAAATTACTTCCTTATTAAAACTCTGTCTTTAAATGACAAGACCCAGATCATGCATGAATTCACACCGCAGATCCTGGTCATGCCGTGATAGGATTTAAAGTGTTTTTTTAATACTCTGGAAGAAAGGCATTGCGCATTTCAAAGGCAGGAAAACTGTATCCGTGCCCTTTTATCCACCTTCAGGAAAGGGTTGATGAATATATCTCAGCTTGTATTTTTGATGAATATAGAACAGTATTTCTGAATGAATATTCTGGTTGAAATAATTTGAAATTTGTCACAGCTCCAAAAATGACAGCAAATGGCACACATAAAGTATACAGTGTACTCTGCATGTTGGGCAGATGAAAGGCAGTGTAATTGCTAATTGATAGCGTATTTACATATCATGCCTGCGTACTTATCTTGACTTAAAGCCTGAAATATGTAACATACTGATAACGCACACACCTTTCATGAAACAAAGTACAAACCCAGAGTCAAACTGACTTTACGCACATTGCAAGCTGCACATGCTCACAGCTGACAAGTGTGTGAAGCAAAGCATTTACATCTAAAACATTTATGCACACATTGTGCACTGAGGCATTGAAATATGCAGCCTTCCATATGTTATACATATTACATATATGATTTCCATGCCAAGTATTTTGGGAAAAGAAAAAGCAATTACCCATATGTTCTCTAAACAATGGGAACGTGCTGTAAGTTGTGGCACTGGAGACTCAGCTTGATCCCCAGGGAATACTTAAGTGCCATGGGATGTGGAAGAACACTGGAGATGGAAAGGAACAGGCAAACTTTGATGGCACAATCTGGGTTCATGTAAATGTGTGCATAGAAAAGGCAGCATTTAAATTCACACAACAGAACCAGATAGAATCAAAGAGAACATCCTGAGCTGGAAAGGAACACCAAGGACCATTGAGCCCACCTCCTGGCCCTGCACAGCACAATCCCCAAGAGTCACACCATGGGCCTGAGAGCATGGTCCAAACTCTTCTTGAACTCTGTCAGGCTTGGTGCTGTGACAGCTTTCCTGGAGAGTCTGTTCTGGTGCCCAACCACCCTTTGGGTGCAAAACCTTTTCCTGATATCCAGCCTAAACCTGCACTGACACGACTTCAGGCCATTCTCTTGGGTCCTGTCACGGGTCACCTGAGAGAAGAGATTGATGCTGCTCCTTGTGAGGAAGCTGCAGAATGAGGTCTCCTCTCAGTATCCTCCAGGCTGAACAGAGAAAATAACCTCAGCCACATCTCATATGACTTCTCCTCCAGACCCTTCACCACCCTCATGGCTTTTCTTTGGATACTTTCTAATGGCTTCATGTATTTATATTGTGGCACCCAAGACTGCCCCCAGCACCTGAGGTGAGGCTGCCCCTGTTGTAAATGTAGGTGAACCCAATGGGAAGAAATTATGATGTCTCACTCAATTCATAAGGCTGAATGATTTCTTTATTATAACTATACTAGAATACATTAATATACTATGTAAAGGAAGATACTAAAGCTACATACTACTTTCTCTAACTCTATATCTAACTCTAACACAACTCGTGACCCTCTTGAGAGTCTAGACACAGGTGGATCGGACTGGCCACCAGGCTCAAACAATCCTCACCAGAATCCAATCAAGCAATCACCCCAGGTAAACAATTCTCCAAACACATTCCACATGAGAAAAAAAAGGAGTAGAAATAGAAATTGTTTCCTCTTTCATTTCTCTCTGTGCACCTCTATGAAAAATCCTGAGAGAGGGAGAAATGTGCTGCCACACACCCCAGCGCAGAGCAGTGGCACAGTCCCCTTGCCTGGCTGGCCCTGCTGTCCCTGGTACCCCAGGGCTCGGGTGTCCCTCCTGGCTGCCAGGACACTCAGGTTCCACTTGCCATGACCGGGACTCGCATTCCCTCTCCCTGCAGGGAGGAGGGAAGCACTGACTCCATGAAGGGCTGAGCGCTCACGCTCCCACATCTTGCACTCCCCGGGCACACCTCCCCACAGGAACACCAGACTGTGTCTGGCATTCAAACCCTGCAGCCGGCAGCAGCTCTGCTCCAGGGTTTGCTTAAGAAAAAAAAATAAATTAAAAAAAAAATTGCCCCCAGGGGCCTTGTTCTGTACTGTCTCAGAATCCTGCTTGTGCACTGGGAAAAAAGTATATACATATACATACACATGCATATATATATATATATATATATATATATACACACACACACACGCATATATACACACAGATATACAATATAAGTATATGTAATATCAATGTTAGCTATTTGCGATCGGCCCCGCGCCCTGAGGGTGACACCGGGGGGGCGGGGCCGAGCCGCCCCCGGCGCGCGCTCATTGGCCGCGGGGGGCGCGCGGCCCCGCCCCTCCCGCCGGTGGGCGCGTGCGCGCGCGCGCCCGGGGTTGGGGGGGCGGGGCCAGGAGAGGGCGGGGATAGGTTGCCATGGCGGTGACGTCAGAGGGCGGCGGGGACGGGCGGCGGAGACACGGAAAGGTCAAACGGGCGGCGAGCGCGGCGGGGCACGGCCGGGCACGGCCGCTCCGGCAGCCTCCGCGGGACCCGCCGGCCGGGCGGCGCAGCCCCTCGGTCCCCGCCGCCTCCCTGCACAGGTACGGCAGGAGCGGCGCTCCGGGGCCGAGCTTGGGGCGGGGGACAGGCGGCGAGCAGGGTGCCGGGGCTGGGTCGGTGCCCGCCTGTGGGAGGACGCCGGGTGTGGGGTCCCCCCGCGGTGCGGGAGCCGCGGGGCGCTCCCTGCGCTGTGCGGGGTCGCACGGGAGCCCCGCGCCCTCCCGGTGCTCCCCCGTGCCGGGTCCGAGCCCGGCGCTGTGACCCCCGTGACCCGCCAACAGAAGCAGGGTTTTTTGGTTTTTTTCCCTGTGGGCCTTAGGGAGCGCTGCTCCCCGCCCCGGCCCCAGCTTTGCATAACTTGTCTCCCAGTTGGCTGTCCCTTCCTCGCTGCACTTTGCCCTTGCCCGGTGGTCTGTGGCGTGAGGGAGTAGAACTATTCAAGGACTGCGTTTTATTTCTCTAGGGAAAGAGCTGGGTCACAAACGAGGCAAGCTGTCTAATAATATTTATATGTATATTCCTTTTTTCCTCCGCAGCAGCCCAGTGTGCAAGCAGGATTCTGTGACAGTACAGAACAAGGCCCTTGGGTGTGATTTTTTTTTTTTCTTAGCAAACCCTGGAGCAGAGCTGCTGTTAGCATGTAGAGTTTGAATGCCACAGGCGGTCTGTTGTTTCTTCCTGCTGAAAGAATAATTTAGAGGAGCAGCAATGGCTCATTAATAGAAAGTATTAGTTGCAGGAAAGCAAAAGCAGGTGAAGTTTCTTACTTTACCACTGACTTACTCTGTGACCTTGGTTCCATCTTTCTGCACTAGTCAGTCCTCTCATTGCTTATGAATTGGGAATAGCCGTGCTTTCCAAAAACGTTCTGTGCATAAACATACTAATGACTGTGAAATGCTTATCTGCTGTAGTAATAAAGGGTAGATAGTGATGCTATTTCTATCACAGAACCAGAAAGGTTCTAGGCAGGATGTGGACTGTAGTAGCCACACTTGGATGCTTAAAAGACATTTAATAACCTGTGATATTGCATGATTTGCACTGTGGTCATCTTATGTTTCATATTTTGATGTAGTGTGTGCTTTTGAAGAGCTGCTATTTCACACTGTAAGTACTTTAAGGATGGCTTTTTTTTCCACTTCTGTTTGGAACAAAGCTGTGTGGTGTCCTCTTCCACTGCTAAGGAAACCCTGTGAATTTCTAATGTAGTAGATTATCCCTGATAGTTGACATCTCTGAACTACATGGTGTTTTTGAAAGGAAATACTAAAGGGAGTGACAGTAAGTTCATCGTACCTGTAATAAAAGGCAATGTTAGTTTAAGGAACAGTATTTTTCTCCTCACCTTATAGGATGCTCTCTGTGGAAAATCGGAATGCTTCCTGTATTTCATAGGTAAAAACCTAAATACAGGAGTCCTGAAGCTGAAGGACTTGACTGTCATGGTTCACACTGCCTGAAGTGCAGCCGCTGCAATAGCAAATGGAAGCAGCCAAGCACAGAGCTGGGAGTTGCTGCTGCAAATCCTGACCTTAGTGAAATAAGTTTTCTCTCTTTACAGTTTTGCTTAATACTGACTTGTGCAACTAGATTACTCATCTTTTTTTTCTATTTTTTTAAATATATATTGTATAAGGATACACCAGGAAGAAGCAATGTTTACCTCATACATTGGGGATTTTTTGAAAGTAATTCAATATATAGTGTCTCACTTAGCTACTCAATTTAATATGAAACTTCCATAATCAGATTAACGTTAAATAGGAAAGCTTTTGTGTTGAAGAGGAGGTAAGCACAACCTGGTTTGGTTTGGTTTGGGTTTTGTGTTTTTTCTTTTAAAGAACTTGAAAGCTGCTCTGGTAGAATAGCAATTCATTGTTAATTCTTAATATGTAGGTGCCCTGAAAAAATCAAATACCTGGTTTCATAGCTACCCTTAGGCATCTTTAATTTATGCAAGCAGGGCTCTCTGAGTAGCTACTGTAAGTCTCATTGACCTTAGTAGGTTTGCAGAGGTCATGTTTTAAAATGGGTAAGTTGTGCTTGAACTATTTTCTCAGTAAGTTTTAGGAGCAAGTGTTGTTTACACAATTACATGCTTTTTCCAGTTCTCCATTACATTTTCTGTTTTTCTTTAGATTCTTGCTCATCCTAAAGAAAACTCTCATTAGGAAGAAGCACAGGTTTTTGAAAACAAGTTCCTTTTCGAGATCTGGCTATAGCAGAGCAGACAGTGAGGTTTTACAAACAGCCAGAAAGGCCGGTGTTGGGTTCAGAGAAACTTGGCCAGCACAAGCCGAATGTACACGAGTGACATCAGCATTTTCTGAGCCATTTATGCTGTTCACTTGTGCTGGTTCCCAGCAGTGCCTTGTGTCTTATGTAAGCTCACACTGTACATCCTGTCCTGCTGTTCTCATGCATGATAATTCACTGGCGTTATCTTACAGGAGGGGAGAGCTGCTGCTTGTCTCAAATGTCTCCATGCAAGTTTCCTATGAGCCAGGAGCATAACCGTGTCCTAGGAGACATCTGAGGAATAACTTGGAGTGAGACACAGCTTGTCCCCTGCTCCTTTTGGTAATAGAGCTGTAACCACTGTGAAGTCATCTGACAGAGGTTTTACTGGACTGAAGCCTTGATCTGTATCATATGTAGATGGGCCACTAATGCAGTTTTGATGGCTGGTGATAAAACAGCCATAAAACCCAAAGGACTTCAGTGTCAACAGAAGCCTCGATAATATTAAGACTGGAAAATAAAGGCTTTTATTACACTGTCACTGCACACTTCTTGTTACAAGGTCTTTGGGAAGAATTGTGTCTTCAGATGCTGATCCTTCAAACTTGTCCTTGCAGTTAGCATTTAATCGTGTGTAATGAAAGTATTGCCACTTGATGGGTGAAATTGAAACAAACCCTCCATTATAAGCACTATACCCAGACATTTCTTCTGTTTTTCTTGCTTGCTAAATCTAGCTGAAACTTGCTGGCATAAAATTCTGCAGTAAAGCAACGTGCATAATCTATTTCTAAGTAAACAGAGCACCTTCTTTGAACAGTGTCTAATGTTTCATACTTCAGTTTCTTTTGTTAGTGCTGTAGCAGTGTGAGGGAGCCAAATTCCTGGTTACCTGTCTTGGTGAATGTGCTTGTCCTTGTCTGACTCCATGGCTTGTTTGGAACAGCTGCAAAGTTTCCTTATGAGCACTGATCTGGCACAGCCGTGTACAAGACTCTTGAGATTTATAGCTCTGTAGGGGAACCACCTACAGAGGGAAGAAGGGTTGACCTGGAGAAGTGCACTTGGGAAGGAATGCTGATGTTCTCTGTGGAAGTAACAGAAATCTTTTCCTGTGACTTTCCAGAGTGACTTGCCCCATACTGCACAAACAGTTTCTCGTTGTAGGGGAGAAACAAGAGGAATGCAAGACTTGACAAGGGGACTGGTTATCTAAAAAGGAACAGGTGCAGTCCTCAGACACTGGAAAGCTGAACAGATTCCTTTAAGTAAGCTGTTCTTGCAGGTTTAAGGACATTTATTGGCAAAACATCTAAGAGAAATTTGAAATTATATTTTGAGAAGGAAATTGAGTTACCAGTATTACTTTAATTGACCAAAGATAGGGATGCATGGACTTTTCCTAGTGTTTTTTTTTTAATTTATGTAGGATATGCAAATATGTTTTAAAACCATATATAGGAGAATAGATGGCAATGAGGATGTATTTTAGAGATTTATAGCATCTGTAAGAACAAATATTGTTAAAAAAAAAAAAAACGAAAAAACAACAAAAAAGACCAAACTCCCCCAAAACACCCCAAGCTTCAAAAGTACTTTCACATGGCACATTCAGGATTCTGTTAATTATATTATGTTGTGTGACAGATACTTATGTAAATATGAAAGTCCACATAAATGTTGTCATGAATCAGTAGCTTTTTTAGTAGATGTGGGCAAATAAAATGTGGTCTGGATGCTTAAATCTGCTAAAATATTTACAAGAAGCCTGGCTCTTGGAAAAAAATTTCCCACCGGATGCAGTGGGTGTCAGGTCTAAAGGTCAGCAACAGAGAGAGTAAAGAGAAGGATCTTTTGCATTTTTCTCCACGTTTTTCAAACAAGCCTTGTGTAAAGAAGTAGAAAATCTTTCTTTCTTTGTTTCTTCCTAAATTTCTGAGCGCTAACAGGCATTTGCAGGTTTGTTCATACTTCAGCTATTTGTTGTGAACTTTTTTCTTTAAGAGAGGAGAAAAAAATCCCAAAACCCTCAGTGTAGTTAATACATTCATGAACTCTTAGCACGGAAGTTCCTGGTGTAAATCATAAAAGCCAGATGGAGTTTTAAGTGACTGTCATGTACAACTTAGGGAATGAACATTCCTGATACTAACAAAAGGGCCAGATTGGAGCTACACAATTAATCCCAGTGTCCTTTTCAGTGCATGATAAGATTTGGCTACAATAGCCATGGAGTTAATAGAGACAACTGTCAAGTTCTGCGAAGCAGTGTATTATCTACCTAAAATAAAAATACCTGTGTGCTTACTCTGATATATATCTTCTGGTGATTAGGGCTCAAATTGCAGTTTAAATGGGGAAAAAAATGAGAGTGAGCAGTGACTGCCTTTGTCTTGAATCTACCTCCTGTCTTAAATATGTATGTAAATATATTTATACATATATTTAATATGTATAATTAATCTGCATTCATAATATATCTATATAAATACTTTTAAAGCAAAAGATAAGTATATAGGGTTTTTTTGAATGTCACATGGCAAAACCTTTCTAAATTTGAGTTGATTTGAAATGTAATGCCTGTGGAGCTCCAGGAAACAATTTTACAATGCAGTTTATTCCCTCTGTGTTAGCAGTGTCCTGAAGGAAATGTGCAGAGAAGTGCTAAAAAAAAAAAAAAGGCTTATGAGATGGCACAAAGTGTGTGTCAGATACAGACAGGAGGAGGAGTGGGCAGATGGCAGTCAGTACAGAACACGTGAATAATCAGATTGAGAACAAGCTGAATACATCGTCAGTATGCTGGTTGCATGCTGCTGCATTTTGGGTTTGGTGAACGTGCTGGGGATTTTTTTGTTGTGATCAGTGTTCATACTCCAGAGAGGTAAAAATCTTGAAGCTATAAGTGTATATGAGGGTGAAGGCATGCCCACCAGAGTCACAGGAACTTCTGGGACGAGGGAGAAGTTAGTGCTTTCAGAACTATCAGGGACTGGAAAACATTAAAAAAATCTGTTCAGTTTGTTATAGACTTCATCTGCAAGTTTATTCAGCTCTACCTTTGGCATGCATGACATGGAATTATATTAAAATGATTCAAAATCTTAGTGCCTGAACCTGTGGTATGGTAGATTGGTTTATTTTTCTGAAAAGGTCTGGAAGGCAGTAAGACTTATTTGTGATAAATTGTTTACATAACTTACTTTATCTAATTTATTGGAAATCTCTGGGTGGCTGTCTGGCCTTAGTGTTCATTGTCTGGCTCAGAGGTCTTTTCCAGATCGTTGGTTGGATGCCCTGTTGGAGCATGGAATGGAAAGAAGAGCAGGAGGGGATGGCTGCCCTGGTGAATGATTGATCCTGTAACCTCTAGTGCAATGCTAAGGATTGTAGAAAATAAATAAATCCAGAAATGGAACAACAAAAGCCCTCCTTCCCTTCTGAGACTTACTTGAAAAAGGTTATAATATCAATTTATAATAATAATAAGGTATACATATGAAAGAGAGTGTGTTGAGATCCAGTTGATCAGTAGTAACTTGGTTCTGTTTGTATTTGTTTCAAAATGTTCCTGCTTTTTTCTTTCTCAGAAAGTTCCATAGGCTAGAAGAGTAGTGAACTGGTCTAACTGGAGAATGCCCTACTTCCCAGAAAAGGCATTGTCTGAGCGGGCAGAATGGAAGGATCACAACACACCCTTCAGTTTAAAATTTATTTAGTATAGATAATTTCACATGCCTGCAGTTATCCTTTAGTAGTACCAGTTTGCTCCTTGTACACTGTATTAGCATGCCTCAGTCTGAACAACAGCAGTAAAGAGTCTTAACAGCACAAGAAGGTAGAGCAAATGTAGTCTGTATTTCTGCAGAAGTGAAGGTTAGAAAGATAAAGGGAAAATGATTAAAATATTCACAAGAAGTGCCCTAGATAAGATTGTTTTGTGTCTGAGGGCATGGTGAATCCTGTGGGAATGAGGAAGCTAAAAGGCTGCTTAATTCTGATGTTTCACACTGAATCAACATGTTAGATATCAAAGTGGTATTAGTGAAATTTGTAAGAACATGGGCATTTTATGTAAAGAATACAGCAGTAAAGTAAGTTAGTCCAAACCAAATCCTTTGCTGTATCCGAGCTATGCAGAGAATGAACATTGGAGGCTTAACGTGAGTATAATAAATCAAACTGCCAGCTGAGCCTCAGAGGGCTTTATTCATGCACTTCATTGTTCTCTCTGCAGATACAACAGGGTTCAGCCAAATGCAGGGCTGCAGATGTTCAGTGTTTCCCAGTGTTCTGAAGGCTGAGCTGGTGTCTGTGCCTTGTCCAAACTGCTCCGTTCTCCGCTCCGAGTGGCCATGCTCTGCCTTTCATGGGGACTTCCACATGCAGAAATCACAGCGTGAGTTTGCAGTTTTGGGTGAGTGGGGAGCTGTCTTGTGTACTCTTGATAACTTCCAGGAAAGGCTCAGATTTGTAGCTTCTGGAAAGTGCTTTTTGGCAACAGAAGATGCCCTGCTGACCCTTTGCAGCTTGGCAGAAAATGCTTCTCAGCATATGAGTTTCCAAACACCTCTCTGAGTACTTCTTGGGGTTTCTGGCACAGAGCAGGTTTTTTAGCTTTCACCAAATTGTCTCCCTTCCCTATATCCTCAGTACAAGGCAAACAAAATAGACAGACTTAAGGCAGACTTATTAAATAAGATTGAAATGGGCAACCAAAGGGTAAAAGCAGAATAGAAAGAAAATTGTGTTCCAGTTATCACATGGTGACACATCTGGTTGTTCTTACCTAGAGTTCTAAAGCAGGTCTCTGCTTTAGGGCCTGACAAGACAGTAGTAGTCTCTCATTAGTGTTAGATTTAAGTATTCAAAGGTAAAATTACTCAGTTTTCCATCACATCTTCAATTCTTTTACCTCATCCTCACTAGGACTCTGGCTGGAGGTAGGCAGCTTTGTGTTGAAAGAGTTGCTTTTCCATTTTGTCCATATTCATTTTGCTGGCCTACTGGTTCATGTTTGATATGCATCAGTACTTTAATGAACTTGCTTGCAACATGCTCATATGATTAGTATAATGTGTTTTGTTAACTCCATGTTTTCTGAGAGTATCTTGAGCATTTTATAGAGACCTCATGTGATATATTTTTAGCCCTGCTGATAAACTTCAACAAAATCATCTGATTATGTACAGATCATGCTTGTAAATAAATATTCTTTCTCATTTTCTCCCTAGTCTGCTTCTTTTGTAGTTTTGCTTATCTTAAATTATTGTTCAGTAAACTTACCCAGTAAAACTTTAACTTAAGAACAATCAATATTTCACTCACATGTAGAACGATAAGTAAACACATTTTTTCCTATCAAATTAGGTTAAGATAAGAAATACTACAGCTAACTAATTTTTAATATTACTTTGACAGGTGTGTACTTTATCTCAGTACAACAAAGGCAGTGTTCAGGAATGTTGTCCTGGTGGTGGTTCTGTGAGCATAACCCTTGGTTGTCCCTGTAGGTCAAGGACAAATTTCACACAGCCCTTTGCAGTGGGATAACTAAGCTGTCTGCTGACAGGATCAGGTACTTTCAGGTCACTGGAACATTGGGAATGTTCTGGTATCAGGGCAGCCAGTTTTTCTGCAACCTGCCTCTCATCTGTTCTGAATATATCAAGGGAGTATTTCAAGGAAATGCTAAGGGAGGTGAAGGTGACTTCTTGGGCTTTATGAAGATTGGTGTGCGTATCTCTAGCAGAACAGAACCTGCAGTGTTCAGATTTGACTCAGCTGTGATACAAGACAGATTCTTTAACAAGGAAATCTGTGATATTTTCTTAAACTACTCATCTGTCCATTTTGACTCCCTTTCTGTTTTTGATTACTCTAACTTGAAAAAAAGAGTTGTCACATCTGATCCAATGATTTTAATATTATTAATTACAAAATAAATGTAGTAGTTGATATCCTTAGATATTATGTGATTAGGCATGATTGTTTGGTCTTGCATTCTTCACTTGATTTCAGCTTGCATGACTGCTTTGAGTTCAGAAACCTAATTAAAATTTTATGATGAGTTTTTTGCTTTGAATATGGTGACTGAATTACTTGTCTTGATAAACACACTAGTTAGATCGGTCTGCTAAGCTGATGTTTCAGTTAAGAGTCAGGTTTTGCCAAATATTAACTAGAAGCAGTAAAATCTCATCTAAGTTTAATGAATCTGTGCACTTAAACATTCCTTGGTTCTAACAAACTGATGGAAGCTGTGATTCTGTATGTTAATGTGAAATGCATATTGCAAGATCAGGGAGAAGTCTGTTCCTCTTTTACGCAACACGAACTTCAGTATGATGCTCCTTCTTGTAGTTAATAATACCTGACTTCTTGCTTATATAGAAATTAAAACAAGACCTTTATTTGTGCAGCTTGAATCACTGTAATGTGTAATACTACTTTTAAATTTCTCCTGAGAGTATTGGACATCCCAGTGAAACCAAACCTCTGCTGCAATTTTCAAAGACTGTTAATAATAATTTTTTTTTGTTGGTGGTGGGGAGAAGGGGTAAGGTTTTCTTAAGTTGCCTGCTTTAAATGAAGTGACTACGTGTTTTCTGTCAGTTTACTGATACACTACAAATATATCTTTTTAATAGTTTAGACAGTTTATAATCTGCTGGTAACTTGAATTATGTGGCTGTTCGCTTCAGTCATTTATTCCTCCTCTGTAGAATCGAGTTATTTTAGCTGTCTGGTTAATCTTTGAACAGATGGGACTTGCAGATCATTGGAGGCTGAAGCACTGTGGTATACAGGCTATTGATAACTCTGGTGTTTCCTGTCTTTCAAGCTACTGGTTTAAATTGTAAAATATAATTAGCTTGAGGTGTTGTACCTTTAAGTAATGTTTCAGTTAAGTTGGTGTTGGCAAGATTAAATATTAGCTTTCACTTGCGTACAGAGCTTGACAGATTTTGCCAACTATGATTTTGTTTCTTGCATTTAAGCGGAGCCTAGGGCAGCCGACTATGGCTTTGTGCAAGAATGGTGAGTTTTGGTGCTTGAGTTTATTGTACACAAATGACTGGAAGGCTGTGTTTGCAGCATTTCCTTAAGTGTGCATTTGTAGGCCCCACTGTACAGATTAACTTTTAGCAATTTTCACAAAACGTACTTGTTCTAGAAATGCTGCTGACAATTTCAATCATCAGCAGCATTGAAATCATGATGCTTTTTGCTCTAGCACCAGCTATATTTGAATGCTTTACATTCTGAAAGAAAGTTAAAGACTTTACATGAAGTTGATTTTTTTAAATGGAATTAAATGCTCAGAGGAATTTTTTGTGATTTTTACAGCATTTCTATTGAGCTAATATGGTCTTGGCTCTTTCAAGAGGTGAAGTAAGTCTTAAGGACTATTGCATCCTTGCACTTCAAACCTCTTCCAGGGGGCATTGTCTGGTTCATGAACTGAGTATGGCAGGATTCCTATGAAGAGCCATATGTTTATTTTTCTATTTTTGTAAATATTTTTCATATGAACGGGGCAGCTTTAATTTTTTTTTTTTTGCTAATTTGTTGTGGTTCATGCCTAGCTTTAATGAGCTTTATTTCAGGCTCTTATATATAAAATAAAATCTTTAGTGCAGAAAGTCCAGATTTAATGACATTTTTGTGTGGGAGCTCTATTCTTGGGCTTGGCTTGCATCACTGATGCTAATTCTGCAGAGCTGTATCCTTGACCTAATGAAATAACTGATGCTCATGTGTCAGCAGCACGCGTGTCATTTCCAGTCAGTGAAGGAAGTTAGAACCACATCCTTGGGTGGAGGTTTTCACAGATATTTTTTGGGAATATTTGTATTCAGCAATGTGTTATACCAGGAAAGTCTTCAAGGAGATTTTTGCCTGAGGTGCTTTAAGAGGCTTCTGACTACTCAGAAAGTTTTTTGTTTATTCTTGTGTTCTTTTGGTTTGCCTTGACCTCCCCAAGGGCTGGGTGCTTTCGGGACTAACCTGCACTGTACCAAGTACTGGGAAGTGGGGCATTGGGAACAGAAAACAGACTTGGGACTCCTTCCAGCATTTAGGAGAAGTGATTGCTGTGGAATTGCTCAGCTGATTTCCATGGAGGTGGAGTCTGCTGACCGTGTTTGGCACAGAAGCCTGTGGGAAGAGCTCCATGTTAATGTGCAGTGTTAACAGAGGAGGCTGAAGGACAGTGTTCAGACTTGCAGTGGGGGTGAACTTCGATGCGGAGAGTGAAAAGCAGCTTCATGTTCTTCTGGTGATTTTTTTTGTTTTCCAAATGTCAGGTTCCTCTTGCAAGACAGGGAAGTATTAAGGCTGCATCTAAATGGTTGCAAAGTTTATACTACATTTAAGGAAGTGTGGTTTTGCCAAATTGATTTTTTGTTGTTTAATCTTTCTCTGAGATCTGCATCTTGATCACATTACTGTTCCCCACTCAAAATGTTGTTACCAAATGTCCTTAGTATTGTCTTTGTAGGGAGCCGGGGAAAGGGAGGTTTCTGTTGTGGTTAAACAATTCACCTATCTTGGTTTAGCACTGCAATGCCACCAAAACAGGCAGTCCTGGCTCATGCAGTATGCTCCTTTCAGTGCTGAGGATTGAACTGCTCTCCAGTGATTGAAATCATCTGCTGGCTATTGCAGAAAACTCATCTGTTTTCCTCTATTTTTTTCCAGGATTATTTTGTAGCTAATATAGTGGTTGTCCAAGAAAATTGCATCATGGAATCCAAAAAGTCCTGCAGCAGGAACTAGGAATCCCTTAGCTGGAAGACAGAGAACATGACTACCCTTCTGTCACAGTGCTTTTGCCATGTTCAATTTAAACCATCCTGAAAGTGTACTGGTAGTTGGGCTCCGTGGTGTGAGTATTCTTTTCATGGTTTTGGAACAGTCATTGTGCAACAGCCTCCCTCATTAAGATAATTATAAAGCAATACTAAGTTGCATTAAATGATGTTCTTGTTGCGCAGTTGTTTTCTGTTTGAGGTACAACACAAAATTCAGCTACACGTAGTTGTTATATTCTTGTATTACTCTGTATTTTGCAGAGCTAATAAAAATTGCTTCAAGATTAACTTGAAAACAACTGTGTGTTGTTATCTCCAGAATGCCTGTCACTGTAGGCTGTGTACTGGCATTCTTTGCTGCTGATCCTGCTGAACATGCAAGTCATGTTTTAGAAGAATCAGAGTTGAAGCATGTGCTTCCAGACCTCACCAATGGGTTTGGTTTATGGATATTTAGACCTTAGGCGGGATTAGAGGCTGTTCTGAAGTGAGATACCCTGGGGTACATGTAATTTAAATATTGTCTTCAGTACAAACTGTGGTTTCACAGCTCTCCTCCCATTGCAGTACACTACCCACTAATGTGGGCAGAGGGTTGGGGTTTGTGTTTATTTAGAGACCTGCTTTAGTTAGTTAACCAAAAAGTATGAAAATCATTAGTCAACGCAAGGAAGAGAGTTCATTTTAGCTTCTAATCTTGATAAAATTGAGTAGCTCTCATTGTTAGTTTGAAACTTGGTGACAGTGTGGGAATTTCAGATTTGCTGCACCAGAAGTACCCAAACCCCTGGATTTTAATACCAGGTAATGATGTCGGTTTCCACTTCACCAAGCTATTTCATTGGTTGCGTTGAATTGTTGCTTAAACTGCGCTGTTGTGGGAATAAGCTGTAGGAACCAGTTCTTCTGAGTTACTTTTAAACTGTTTGTTTACTGTAAATGCTTTAATTTTGATTATTACAGAGGCCCTGCACTTGTAGTGTGACTGAAAAAATAGTTTTGGTCATACTGTCCCTCTTCAGTATTTAGTTTATGATGGTTTGAGAAGCTGTATTCAGTACTGGGAGGAAACAAAAATGAGATCTTCTGGGAAAAAAGACGGAGTCTGAAAATCAATAGTCAGTCCTTTAATGTAAGGCATCCCTGTGTACTGTTTCAGAGTAACATTTTAAAGTTTTCGTGTTCAAAATAGGGTATTGTAGGAAACAGTCTGCTGCCTTTTTCAGTTTTGAGGGAGTCCTTGCATGCAAGCTAAGTAAAAATACCTTTCATATTGCTTGTTCTTTAATACACTGGCATAAAGTTACAATCTTGAAGGGTTCTTTTTCTGGAAGAACATTGAGTCATCTACAGGAGTGACCATGGGACAGGGTTTGTCAGCATATTTAAATACAGTAGGCTTAGGTATTCAACTTCTATTTTCTCTGTAATTTATTTTTTAAAAATATTTGGCTTCACCTAATAAAAATAGTGTTAACATCAAGTATTTGTGATTTCAGAACTGTTGGACCTGCTGACAGTGGAATCTATTGGTAACACCTGGTTATTTATAGAAAAAACTGCACTGATGTGATCTATGAATAGTTAGTTCTATATCCAATATTGACTTCATTATGTCTGAGGACAATTACAGAAACAAGGCTATAATTGCTGGAAGCATATCGCAGGAATTAGTGAGATTATGGAGTTGCAGGTGTAATGGTCAGAAGAAGCTTCTGGGGGTCTCTGGTCCTGCCACTCATTCAAAGCAGGGATAGAAGTAGCACTGGGTGAGGTAAGTCATGGCTTTGACCTTTGAAGCAGTGAAAACCCTCAAGAGCAGCAAACCCATGGCCTCCATGTGAAACCTGTGCCTGCTTTTCACCACCCTCCTAGTGAAAAAGATTGTCATTGTGTCCAACCTGAGTATTCCATGGTGCCTTTTGTGGCCATTGCTCTTCCTTATCCTGTCTGCTAGGGCTGAGGGTGTTTGTCTGCCCTGTCTTTACAGCTCCCATCTTGCTGTAGCTGTAGCCACTCTCAGAAGGTCCTGTTGTTCTGTGTGCCAGAGAAAGCAGGCCTCTGTGGGAGATGCCCCTGAGGCCCTTGACTACCTGGGTACCTATGGCTGGACCCTCCTTGGTTGCTCAGGCTCCTACTGGAGTGGGGTCCCCACCTGGGCACCAGATGTGTGCAGTGACCCTGTCAGCGTCTGGCCAGGCAGGGATCACCCCCTTCCCGCTGGCTCCTGTTCCCTCTGGTGTCTGCCCCAGCACCTGGGCCCTTTCTGCAGAGCTGGTGCTGTGCCAGCCCTCCCCAGCCTGTGCTGGGGGGTGTGGGGTTCTTCTGCCCTGGGGCACAGCTTTGCTTTCTTGCCCTGGGCCTGATGAGGTTTGGTTTGGTCCCATTCTTGGGCTTATCTGTCTGTTTGTTTGTGGAAGTGCTGCCATTCCCTGTGTGATCCCTCTCTTCCCTGCTCCCCTCCACTTTCTGCTCCCCTGCCAGTTTGCTGAAGGTGTGCTCTGCCCCAGCTTCCCAGTGAGTGTTTGCAGCTCTGGGATGGCCCCTGGAGCCCTGCCTGGCTGAGCTGAGCTGGGTGTTCAGCTGCTGGTTGCACCTGTGTGATCCAGAGATCTGGCCAGTTTTCCAGGGCAGCTTCCCTTCTCTTCATGCAGCTGTAGGCACCTCAGACTCCAGGTGAGTCTGTGGTGGGAGACCTGTCCTGAACGTTGTCCTGAAGTCAAAGAATGTTCTCTGGGCCATTCAACTTTCATCAGAGCCCCCCGGGAGTTGGCTGTGCTCTGCCTTTGATAAATATTTGTTAACTCCTTAAGATTATCAAAATTAATTTCATCCATGCTTTTTCCATGTTCCTTCCAGAAGGTGATGGGGCTATTGTTTTGAGTTGTCAGGCACAAGGATGGTGGGAACCTCCTGTGAATGCCATAATGCTTCAGTAGGTGACAGCACTCACAGACACATAGTGTGATTCATGGGGTGTCCTGTGCAGGGCCAGGCATTGGACATCATGATCCTGATGGGTCCCTTCCAAATCAGGATATTCTATGATTCAATGAATCTTGGTGTAATGCTGCATAGAATTTAGAAAAAACCCCTAATTTAGTAGTTGGTAAGCAAAATTTTTAACAGTCAGTATGAAAATCAAAAATTTTTTTCATTATTTAGGAAAAAAAATTCCAACTAAATGTTACTTTTGTCTTCTTCAAAAAGTTGTATGCCTTGTATTGTATTAGTCAAGTAACTAAATTTTAGCTCTTAGGTTGTTCCAGGTAGGGAAACATAACTCAAGTTTATCTGTAAAATTTATGAACTAGGAAAGTCTATTTTAATTCTTGTTTGTTAAAAATTATTGAAAGAGGTAGCTTGATTCTGGGGGAGATGGTGTTTGAGAGGCTCTGAAAGCAGTAATTTTCCAAGCCTATTTGTCAGATCTGATGTAAGAATGATTCTATAATATGGAGTTAATGTTTTCAAAATGAGCTGCTTGGCCAGCACACTGTGTCTGGTTCCAATTACTGTCAGTAAATCCTGAAAATTATTTACTGAGAAGGACTTGGTGAAATCTGCATTTTAAATAGAGATAATCAGTATGAAAGTAGTTAAAAGGAGTTTTGTAATATTTCATGCTGTATGGTTTTGGTTTTATTTTTGAGATTGTTGATTCTGAAGTGGATGCCATGTCTGTGCTGTTCTGGCGTGAACTGTTTCCTCTGTGGAAGTAGGATTACAAGTATGCTTAAAAGAATGGATCTCCTGAGTATTATTGCAAAACAAGTAATTGACTTTGTTAAAAAAAAAACAACACAAACTTCTGCATAAGAACAAAGATGTTCTGTAAACCCAAGTGCTGTGCACTTATCTGATGTTTGTAACTTGCATTCTTGCTGGGTTGAGCTTATTTTCTTTGGAGTAATTTTAAAAAGTGTATATGCTCTGGGAGCAAGGTTAGGATTAATACCATTGTATAGATTGCTTCTCAGTCTGATATCCTTCAGAATAACTGCAGTGGAGCAGTTGAGCCCTCTTTAGACAGCAGGGAAAATAGGTGGTTGTGACACTGTACTTTCAGCAGGATCTACAGGCTGCAGCAGCAGCCTCCAGACTCTGCTTTCAAAATTCAGTGTGATGATGCCAGGACTTGTCATATTTGCAACTATATTCATTTGGAAGGATTGGAATACATTCAGAGAGGATTATCCTTAAAATGGGAACATTCCCTGTGGATCTCTTGGTGGCCTGGCCCTTACCAGCTTCTGTAGCAATTTAGTAATTGCTGCAGACTTAGTTGTTGCACCCTACTGTTAGCAGTCTGTCCAAAAGTGCCCTGGTTCAGCAAGGTAAGCAAAGGGACTTTGAATGTCTGCTTGCAGTTCTCTGCTTGCTCCCTCACAGTGTTACAGAGAACTATTGTTGGCAGCTGATATCACCAGAGAATTACAATTGCAAATGTGAGTGAAAAGCCATTAAGTGAAGGAGTGTGCTAAATGTGTCATTGATTGGAGTCTGCTACACCAGACTCAATTGATATCCACTCAAAAGAGCCCCCAAACAACCAACAACCTACTTAACAAATGACATACTTCTATAGATTTTTTGGTTTCTGTCTTTTTAAGGAGGTTTTTCCATCCGTGCTCGGCCATGTTTGAGTCAGCAGGTGTAGAGGA